CCAGATGGCTAGGCCTCAGACTGACGAAGCCTCTTGGATGAGGGGCGAAACGTTTCTTTATAACAAAAAAACGAAGTCCAGATGACATGATTCAACCTTTTTTGTTGTTATATACCTGGATGACTGAGAAAACAAACTTTGTGTTTTTGAATTAATATATTTTTGTCATTTTACTTTATTCTCAATAGTTCAACTTTAAACTTAAGTTTGTAAACTAAGAGAAAATTTCCTTCCTCTGTTGTTTTTCTGAGTTACACTAAAGGTCACTGAGAAGCATCAGGCTGAGACTAGTTAGAGACAAAAAATTGTAAAAATAAATAATAATAATAACATAAAATACGCATTTTCACTTATAATCACATTAAATGTTGAACTTGCAAAAGACCCAAAAACCAAACATCTCTAGAATTTCAGAAACTAAACAAATTAATGATTACACGTTTAATACTTTAATATTTAAAAAAAAAAAAAAAAAAAAATATTTTTTGTTGATATTTTAAAAATGATTTTCTGTGAAAATATTTTTTAAAGTCAACATCTTACCTGTTTTAGATAGCTTTTTGAACAACGTCAGTTTGGAAAAAGAGTTAAAATCCCACCAGATTGACGACAAAATGGCGAGTCTGTTCTGTCATAACTAAACTTTCTCCAAACTGAGGTTTTTAAAAATAGTTATCTACTACAGTTAAGATACTAACTGTTTATAACCTTTCCAGATAACCCCACTTTGAAGGGTACAAATAATCCTTTCGAACCCTAAAACAGTAGCAAAACTGGACCAATGCAAACGTTACAAGAGAAAAGTTGGAACATAAAAGTGGACTCATGGTTTAGTCTTATTGCAAACAAAATAATTCTTGAAACACTACACCTCCAATGACATCATTCACGCCTTCTCTAAATTTAAACATCTGCAGCATGTGCTTCATGCCGGCCATCACGCCTGAAAAAGTTTACATGCTTTGTGAACTAACTTCAACTTGACAAACTCAGAGAAGCTTTGAGTAAGATCCCACTACCACTTCTGTACATGCAACACATTGCATCTCTCGAACGCCTCTTCAACTCCCCTTGGTTTTAAAACACTTGGTATTTCAGTGATAAGCACACGGCATGACTGCAGTAACAGCAGTGTCAAAGGGTTTGCACTGATTTAAAGAAAGATTCACCTTCCACTTGTTGAGAGAGCTTAAAAAGAAACCAGAGGATCTGCTCATAAAAAATTCTAGAATAATAGAAATAACAGGCCTAGCATTGATGTTATGCACAATCTTTTGATATTGCGGGATCTCACGAGATCTGTTAGCACTTGTGTGCTGAGCATGTTTCTCAGCTAATATACCACTCAAATATTTAGCTCATTAGCTTTTGGGGTCGAGATGGGGTAGAGGCAGGGAAGCCGACCTGCGACCTGAAAGTCCCAGGTTCAATCCCCAACCCTTTCCACATGTCGTGGTGTCTCTGAGCAAGACACCCAATCCCTAATTGCTCCTCGGGCAGCTTACATAGCTGCCCACTGCTCCACCTGGGTGTATCTCATGTGTGATGGGCTAAAAAGTCAAAGTTGAAGTTTCTTTATTTATCATATGCACCACATGTGGTGGAACAAAATTGTGTACACATGGTCCCAGTTACATACAACAAAAGTATAAAATGTAAAAAATAAACAGTAATAAGATCTAACAAAAGAACTAAGAAAAACGTTAAACTAAAAATACGCTAAGCACTAGTAGTACAAAAACAATACGCCTAACAGCAGCACGAACATGAGTTTGTGTGAGCAGATGAGTTCGAATGAACACAGCAGCATGAAATAAATCAGCAGAATGATGTGATTTTTCAGTGGTTATTCTGGTTAGAGCTTCATGAGTGTAACAGCCTCATGGTAGAAGCTGTTCCTCAGCATGGTGGTTCTACATTTAATGCTTCTTAGCCTCCTTCCTAAGGGGAGCGGGGCAAAAATTGTGTGTGCTGGGTGAGTGTGGTCCTTCATGATGCAGGTGGCCCTCTTCCTACATCTGTATGTATAGATGTCTGTGATGGTGGGAAGGCTGACTCCAACAGACTTCTGTGCAGCCTTCACCACTCTCTGCAAAGCTTTTCTTTCTAAAATGAATAAAATTTAAATGCAGAGTACAAATGTTGCCATTGTATGGGAATATACAATGATGACAACACATAGCACTTACTTACCAGTATTTACTTAAATGAGCAGTTTTTGTATTGTCAAGTACTTGCTATAGATGTGGTGAGATTATTCTGTACCCTTTTATAAAGAAAAACCCACAAAGTTCACTAAAATAAATTAAAACTGGCAATAATAATTAATTTACCAAAAGCCAGCAAAATAAAAATCAGTCATTGCTTTTGAACTTTGGTTCAACAGATTTTTTTTTTTCCAAAATAAAGTTATAAAACTAAACTTGAGAAAAAAAAACATGCTACTCCTAATATTTCATACACAACGTTTTGAGGCAATCAAGTGATTTGTGTATCTCTGACTTCTGCACCTGTCCACATGTGTTTAGATCCACTTCTTATAAGCAAACTGCTCCAGATGTCACAGGTTTGAAGGGTTCCTTCTCCAGATGTTCAACATCATTTACATCAGGTCTCAGAAGGCCACTTCATAACAGTCCAGTGCTTGGTTCTGAATCATTCTTGGGTGTTTTTGGTCGTTTTCCTGTTGGAGGATAGCCTGTTGGTTGACTCAGACCAGGTTTTCTAACACTGGGTAACACATTTTGCTCCAGATTGCCTTGACAGTCTTGGGATTCCTTTGTAACCCTGCACAGAATCTAGATGTTGTGTGTCAGATGCAGCAAAGGAGGTACAGAACCCTAACCCTCCATGCAGGAAGTAGGCCACCTGCATCATGAAGAACCCCACTCACCCAGCACACACACTTGTTGCCCAGCTCACCTCAGGCAGAAGGTTGAGGAGCATTAAGTGTAGAACCACTAGACTGAGGAACAGCTTCTACCCTGAAGATGTTAGACTCATGGATCCCTAACCAGGATAATCATTGTAATGTATTGGTGATGTGTAACTTATCTGTGCTGCTGATTATCCATACTGCTGATCTCATGCTGCTGACTTACTCATGCTGCTCACCACAGAGCCATGTTCAGGCTGCTGTTGTTACAACATATTGTTTTACATTATTAGTGTTTAGCATATATGTCATGTTTCTGTATCTGCCATTCAGCCACGCCCACTCTGCACCTTCAGCCTAATCAGCGCTCATGTCATACACCTGTTCCCTGCACTATTTAAGATTTCCATTCATTCAAGTACCCTGCCAGATTATCAAACCCTCAGTGGTAGTAAATGTCCAGTGTTCTGTTCAGTCCTGTTTGATCTTCATGTTTTGACCTCATGTCTTCTTTTGGATACCCCAAATTGCCTGCTCCCTGTCTGCTCTGGATTTGCTTTTCTGACCTCGTTACAGACTACTCTTCAGGCTAAACAACCACATTTCAAGGATTATAATATGGATTTGGACCCGGATCTCTGACTCCATGTGTAAGACTGTCTGTGCTTCTGGACCTTGTTTTTGGAATACCCCTTGGATCGCGCTCTCTCCTCTGATGCTGCATTTCACCCATTGATGGTGACATCATCATTCCCAACTCATTCAGCTGGCCCCCACCTTGCCTAGCTGAGAAGGTTAGTGACTGTCATTCTGTTCATCTTGCCACTCACAGAAATATTCAGTTCACTAGCCATCCTATCTCTGCAAATTGGCCCTGCCACTGGACTCTGACCTCCACCAGCAGCTGTTTATCAATAAATCTTTTAACCATTCTTGTTGTCTGAAGTCGTGCTCGAATCTTAAAACAACATTCTTGTCAGTATTTCTTAGATCTTTTAGCATACCGTTTGGTGTTCATTTAGCATATATCTTAGTGTACATTAGACTCCTTTTACAATTTATATTTTTGCTATTGTTGAGTGTAACTGGGACCCTGCGTACATAATTTTGTTCCACCTCATGTACCACATGTGATGAGAATGACAATAAAATTGATTTGAACTTGAACAAAACCGAGCCTCCATGTTCAATTGTAGTTTTGGGTCTGTCTGTGAACATCAAGCTGATGTGACTTGTTGCCAAAAATTCCAGCCTCTATTTTGTCTGACTTGATGTCCTCCTTTGTCTTCCATCAAGTCCCTTTTGGCCCAAACAATGATGAATGATGTCATCTGACAAAAAGGTACCTTGACCTTGGAGTTCATCTCTGATCTCTTTGGAAGTTGTGGGCTTTTTGATTACCCCTCATATGATCAGTTTATTCTATTTGTCATCAGTTTTCCTCCAGGGAGGGTACATGGACTGTACTTATATAACGCTTTTCTATCTTATTGATACTCAAAGCTCTTTACAACACAATCTGTGCCTCATTTAACCATTCATACAACACTCTACTATATCTGTACAAAGAATAATCAGAGCTTTATCACATTCATACATTGATGGGACACACATCAGAGGCAATGAGGGGTTCACTGTCTTGGCCAGGGTCACTTTGGCATTTGACTGCTGGTGGAGTTGAACCCCCAGCTCTTGCAATGGAGGACGACTGCTCTAAACACTCAGCCACAGCCGCCCCCTGGGTGTCTTCAGTCTTGTGGACTTTAAACTTCCGAATAATCTGTGCAGCTGTGGAACATCCAGCTGTTGCAGATGGTTTTAAAGCCTTTACCATTATTAAGCTGCTCAATATCATTTCTAAGCTCCTGTGAGAACTCTGTCCTTGGCTGTCCTTGTTCATTGTTTTACACACCATGATACCAAACAGTCCTGTGACTACCTGACACCTTTTTTAGTAGACTGACTGATAAAAAGACTGGGGACACGTGTGATGCTGATTACAGGACACAAGTCCCTGTGGTTAAATTATTTTCAGTCATTTTTAGGAGTATAGTACTATCCAGTTTTGCAAAGGCCAGTTTTATTAATTATTTTTAACCAATTATGGTGCTAACATTTAAAGGCAATGACTCAATTTTATGGGTTGATTTTAATTAATTATTTTTCATATAATTGTATCTGTTTCAATTTACTTCAGTGATCTTTTGTTTGTTTCTTTTTTAAAATAAAGGTAAAAACTATTGTGTATTGCTACCTAACAAAAGTGTCTGACTACATTTGCATCAAGTTCTGTGGATCTGTTGGTACTTTTACTAGCTTGTTTTCCTACTTTCTGATAGAATGGCTTCAGTTATATAAAATTATCCAAAAATATGTCTCTACCTGTGGGGATGCGCATATTGATGTCTGACAGCGTCAGCAGGTTGTTTCCCCAGGTGAAGGATCCATTGCTCACCTGAACAGAAGCAAAAAGAGACTAAATCAAATGAGAACTGTACAGCCAGTGTTGTAAATTATTTTTTTCCTTCACAGCAGATTCCTCACACTGTTTTAGCAACAGGCAACCTGCATACATGCTGTTTCCTTGTGCACTGACCCCCAAAGAGAAGAGCAAATGACCCATTTTAGCCCCGGACCAGAGTTTGAGGTATCCGGTGAGCTAATTGCAGTGAACTGGTCTCACTATATGAAAAAACCCATAACAAATTGTGATGTTTGTTTTTTTTCTAGTTATTCTGACTAAAATTATTATCTCTGGTTGGGTTGTTAGTTTGTCACAGCCAACTGTGTCTAAGTTTTTATTTTTTAAACCAGAAAATTGCAGTATAACTACTCGTTTTTTAAATTAGAGCTACTAATAGGTTTCGTTAAAGAATGCAACCTAAAATCTTATTAGATTAGGTTATTAGATCAGTGATTTTTATAGTGTACCATGGGAAATTGTCTGATTTCACTTAATTGGTAAAAACAAATTAGTCACTGCAAAGGATTTGGCATTGAGCATCTGTGTCTGCAAAATGTTGGCCAAGTAAATTTAACACTATTCATTACTAGTAGGTGGCAGTAGGTAAGACATAACTGCAAACTGTCCCGATTTAGTTGGGACAGTCCTGGATAGGGAGGGGCAGGACCTCCAAATGTCCTGCATTTGACATACATATGACACTTCTCAGCTGTCAGACACAGTTGGGATTTTTCCGATACCACAATCTATTGCAAAATGAGCTTGCTGAAAAAACGAGTTATCGGCAACAAAAAAAGAACAAACATTGGTCAATTTAAATAACTAAAGTGCGACACACTGGTGGGGAGTCTGGGGGTCCCTCCCCCAGAAAATTTTGAATGAAGTAGCTGTCATTTCCTGCATTTTGGTGTATGTTAACGGGCTGTTAAACATATATGATTACCCAACACTTGATTCAATAACTATTTTAGAGAACAACAACAGCTCTCAACTTGGGTGTGAAATCGACTGTGTGTGTGTGTGTGTGTGTGCCTTCTGAAAGCAAGCCCCCCCTCCCCTCACTTCCCAGCTCAGAGCCCGACACTTATCCACTGAATTCAGTCCTGCGCGTTGTTGTCTGACTCACCACTCACATGTGAACTTCCTCAGTCTGTTCATGGCCGCTGCCTGTGAGCTCCTGCCCATATACGATTGTCTGGTTTGCTCAGAATTTGCCCCCATACCACTCGCTCACTCCTGCTCCAATCTCCTGCAGCTGTGGGCTGCATAAAGGTGCAGCAGGTGCTAAATAATTTTAAATATTTCATTTTAAATAAAAATTATTTTAAAAAACCATGATAGAGCGAGATCACGAAAAACAAACCGTGAAGTAGCGAGGAACTACTATATATATATATATATATATATATATATATATATAAACTACTACTTTGCGGTTTTTCACTTATCGCGAGGCTTGAGGCTTCAGGCTTCAGGCTTCAGGAAAAGGATCCCCCGCCATAAATGAGGGACTACTGTAATGTGAATAATACACATCAGACATTTCGCTTGTTGTATTTTTAAAAGTCAAAATTTTATTAATAACCCACTTAAACTGTCAAACTGATTAGCAATTTACAGTAGTTGTGCTGTTTAATTATATATATATATTTTTAATTAAAATTCACAATGACTTTGGATTTTTAGGGGCAGAGGTTGGAATTACCAGATCCAAGCAAACAGTTGCTGGAAAAACACCCTGTCAAAATAAGAGTTACCGGATCTTGTTCCAGCAGTATCTGGCTCAAATTAAGCCCTGCTAGTTAGTGTTCATTGTTACAGCTTTCAAAAATATATATATAATACCAATTTTATGTTTTTTGTCCAACCCAAGGAATTTAGTAAAACGCACATCAAATGGGTTCATAACTTTTATGGACAGAATTTCTAGGCACAGCCAAGGTGTTGAGGGGATCCGTTTAGGTGGCCTTAGGATTGCTTCTCTGTTTTTTGCAGATTATGTGGTCCTATTGGCTTCATCAGGTCGTGATCTACAGCTTTTGCTGGAGCGGTTTGCAGCTGAGTGTGACGCGGCCAGGATGAGGATCAGTTCCTCCAAATCCGAGGCCATGGTCTTGAGCTGGCGGAAAAGGGTAGAGTGCCCTCTCTGGGTCGGGAGGAGGTCCTACCCCAAGTGGAGGAGTTTAAGTATCTTGGGGTCTTGTTCACGAATGAGGGAAAAATTAACCGTGAGATCGATAGGCCGATAGGTGCAGCGTCGGCAGTGAAGCAGGCGCTGTACCCGTCTGTCGTCATGAAGAGAGAGCTGAGTCAAAAGGCAAAGCTCTCAATTTATTGGTCGATCTACGTTCCTACCCTCATCTATGGTCATGAGCTTTGGGTTGTGACCGAAAGAACGAGATCTCGGATACAAGCGGTCGAAATGAGTTTTCTCTGCAGGGCGTCTGGGCTCTCCCTTAGAGATAGGGTGAGCAGCTCGGTCATCTGGGAAGAACTCAGAGTAGAGCCGCTGCTTCTCCACATCGAGAGGAGTCAGTTGAGGTGGCTTGGGCATCTGGTTAGGATGCCTCCTGAACGCCTCCCTGGTGAGGTGTTCCGGGCACGTCCCACTGGGAGGAGACCCAGAGGAAGACCCAGGACACGCTAGAGGGACTATGTTTCTCAGCTGGCCTGGGAACAGTTTGGGATTCCCCTGGAGGAGCTGGCCCAAGTGGCTGGGTAGAGGGAAGTCTGGGCTTCCCTACTTAGGCTGCTACACCCACAACCCAACCCCGGATAAGCTGAAGAAAATGTATGGATGGCAGATCAAACGACTGGAATATGCATAGTTTTGAGTAGATTTTAAAAATAATTATTGGGGGGCATGGCCCCCCGGGGGGGGGGGGGGGGGGGTGTTGCCCATCACTGATGTTTGTGGATAGAAATGTTGGCGGGTTTGAAATGGTATAAAAGAAGATGGTGGTGAACTGGATCCAGGACAAAGTTCTTAGCTAGGGACCTGCACAGCTGTAGTCTTGTTGGACAAGACAAGACAAGACAAGGACATGACTTTGTAGGAGCGGGAGGAACCACCTGAACTGAGACAAGACGTTGGTTTACAGCTGATCTACTTTTGGATAATTTTTAGTTGACTGCTGCTAAAGAGTTTCATATTCTTGCAAATACAGCTATTTTAATATTTCTGCCATTTTCCACAACATTATGTGAGCTGAACTTAAAAGCATGACTACTCTAAAAACTTAATACGTACAGAAAGAGACTGAGAGCTGTGCCTAATGTGTGCCGTTTTTCTTACCAGGATATCACCTTTGTGTTCATGCAAACAGTCCCAGGTTTCTCTCTTAGTAAATTCTGAATTTTTTATTGTCATTATATGTGCGTTTTCACCTATGATTAGCCATTTTGTAACCTTTTTGATTGGTAGTGTGCCACAAGTTTTTTTTGTTGTTTGTTTGTTTTTATGGAAAAATGTGCCACGCCTCAAAAAAGGTTGAAAACACAGTCTTAGATTACAATTTAGGATGGGGCTAGCTAGCTGGCGCTAAGTGGCGTTACCTGGTGCTAAATAATATTATTACCATTAGCTAGCTAGCATGAACTAATGTTATTTTAGGAAACCACACTCGCCATCTACTACTACTCTGGGTCAAATGTTTTGACCCATTTATTTGGCCAAAGCAGCTCAACTTTTAACCTGAGTTATTAAAATAACTCCAGTTTTAATTTGTACAAATGGATACAGAATTATAACTTGTCAAACACAATAAGTGTTGAGAAAACAAGTGAACAGCAGCAAATAAGTCTGCATCTAATCACTGGTCTGCATCCCTTCTTCCTGCTTAACAGTTTACATTCCTCCTATCTGTTGCTTTTATTTGTTTATTTTATGTTTATTTTATCTGACAGTCCCCTGAAGCGTTTCCCCCAACAGTTACCCTCTCCACACGTCACTGATCCCCAAAAGGAAAAAGGAAAATCTTTTATTTCTTCCTTAACACATATTAAACACAAGTTTCCAATACACTTTAAATGTTGAGGTTTAGAGAATAATATAGTATACCTCCTCATTTTCCTCCTCATTACAAAATAACTGGGCTTCAAATAAAACTGATTATCTAGAATTAAGATTAATAGATAAGTTGGATAGCACATATTTGTTTATTGGCTACTGTGGGAAAAAATGGAAATGTTCAAAGCAGAAAGATGTCTAAATGAGAGCGAGGGAGGAAAACAGAACGGAAGTGGAGAACAGAGATGTAAAATCAGGAGTGAAGTATGACAATTAGTAAACACAGGGTTTGACTGTCTAATGATAAACAAATGATTAAACCTTGTAACTTGTATGAAAACTGCTGCTATTCCTTCACTCGCTTTTTTAAATTACAGATAATTTAAAGCTTAACATTTTGTTGAACAAGTTCTATTTGTTAACATTAATTTATTTCTAGATAACTGTTGCTTATGCACCTAAACAATGTTATTGCAAGGCATCTTTGCATGCTAAAGGTTTAAAAACTATCTGTCAACATCCAGTCAGGGCACTGACCACTCCGTTGGGACCTCCTCCTGCCGCATGAACTTTCAGTTTCTGACCCAGAGGATGGGGAAAGTACCTGCACAATGTGTCCTCCACCTAAAACCTTCTCTGCATGCCTAATGGCAACTTCCCACCCAAGTCGCATAGCAATGAGTCTCCTTGCAGTGCCAAAGGTGTGACACCCTGGAGCTGGTAGCAATATCTTGCATGTGTGCAGCCCAAGAGTAGCAATCGTGGATCTACCCAGAGCAACAGGGATCCAAGGCCCTTCCTGGGCAACCAGGCAGCCCTATTCAGGAATGCCCAAGGACACCTCTAGAAAAGGTGAGGTAAAAAAGAATTGCTCTACAACTACCTGTCGCACATCCCACACCCAGTGGGTTTCCACCTTAGTGGGTGCAACAGAAAGTCTTTAAAGCTCAGTCTTGCAAGCTGGAATGTGAGCTCTCTTCTA